GCACTCGCTATAGGCAGCATGCATGTTTCGTTTGAAAAAGTCACTGCAAAATATCAAAACATTCTGCCCATACCTCATAGCCGCGGGGAGTAAAAGCAAATTATAATAATACACATTTTTATAACATGTTTTTTTATTATATTTTCACAAAAGTAGTGCATTGGGCCTCTACTAGTCCTGTATTAGCGGACCGATATAGCTGTCTGTAGCGTGGGCAAAAAAAAACCCATCTATAAATCTCAATATTTTATAGAGGTACGTATTTTTAGACATACAGTTGAAGTCGGAAGTTTACATACACCTTAGCCAAATACATTTAAACTCAGTTTATCACAATTCCTGACATTTAATCCTAGTAAAAATTCCCTGTCTTAGGTCAGTTAGGATCACCACTTTATTTTAAGAATGTGAAATGTCAGAATAATAGTAGAGAGAATTATTTATTTCAGCTTTTATTTCTTTCATCACATTCCCAGTGGGTCAGAAGTTTACATACACTCAATTAGTATTTGGTAGCATTGCCTTTAAATTGTTTAACTTGGGTCATACGTTAAAGGTAGCCTTCCACAAGCTTCCCACAATAAGTTGGGTGAATTTTGGCCCATTGCTCCTGACAGAGCTGGTGTAACTGAGTCAGGTTTGTAGGCCTCCTTGCTTGCACACATTTTTCAGTTCTGCCCACACATTTTCTATAGGATTGAGGTCAGGGCTTTGTGATGGCCACTCCAATACCTTGACTTTGTTGTCCTTAAGCCATTTTGGCACAACTTTGGAAGTATGCTTGGGGTCATTGTCCATTTGGAAGACCCATTTGCGACCAAGCTTTAACTTCCTGACTGATGTCTTGAGATGTTGCTTCAATATATCCACATAATTTTCCTTCCTCATGATGCCATCTATTTTGTGAAGTGCACCAGTCCCTCCTGCACCAAAGCACCCCCACAGCATGATGCTGCCACCCCCATGCTTCACGGTTGAGATGGTGTTCTTCGGCTTGCAAGCCACCCCCTTTTTCCTCCAAACATAACGATGGTCATTATGGCCAAACAGCTCTATTTTTGTTTCATCAGACCAGAGGACATTTCTCCAAAAAGTAAGATCTTTGTCCCCATGTGCAGTTGCAAACCATAGTCTGGCTTTTTTATGGTGGTTTTGGAGCAGTGGCTTCTTCCTTGCTGAGCGGCCTTTCAGGTTATGTCGATATAGGACTTGTTTTACTGTGGATATAGATGCTTTTGTACCTGTTTCCTTCAGCATCTTCACAAGGTCCTTTGCTGTTGTTCTGGGATTGATTTGCACTTTTCGCACCAAAGTACGTTCATCTCTAGGAGACAGAACGCGTCTCCTTCCTGAGTGGTATGACGGCTGTGTGGTCCCATGGTGTTTATACTTGCGTACTATTGTTTGTACAGATGAACGTGGTACCTTCAGGCATTTGGAAATTGCTCCCAAGGATGAACCAGACTTGTGGAGGTCTACAATCTTTTTCCTGAGGTCTTGGCTGATTTCTTTTGATTTTCCCATGATGTCAAGCAAAGAGGCACTGAATTTGAAGGTAGGCCTTGAAATACATCCACAGGTACACCTTCAATTGGCTCAAATGATGTCAATTAGCCTATCAGAAGCTTCTAAAGCCATGACATCATTTTCTGGAATTTTCCAAGATGTTTAAAGGCACAGTCAATTTAGTGTATGTAAACTTTTGACCCACTGGAATAGTGATACAGTGATTTATAAGTGAAATAATCTGTCTGTAAACAATTGTTGGAAAATGTACTTGTGTCATGCACAAAGTAGATGTCCTAACCGACTTGCCAAAACTATAGTTTGTTAACAAGAAATTAGTGGAGTGATTGAAAAACGAGTTTTAATGACTCCAACCTAAGTGAATGTAAACTGTACGTATTCTTTTCAGAAATGGCACATGCAGATATTTAGTGTGACATTTATGCAACGGTTATAAATGAGGCCCCTGGTCCTGAGTGCAGCTGATTGTAACTGTGAGGTAGAGTACAATGTGAGGTAGCCTGCTGGGTCTCAGAGCTGCTGAGTGTGAGACAGTCGTGCTGTCCTCAGGTGGCCTTGACCCCTGTGTGCCACAGCTGGGCTGGGCTGTCTCAGTGCTCTCTGGCCCTGGCTGGAGTGGCAGGGCTGTTGCTTTTCATTCCCCCCAGGCTACTGCAGCCTCTCTGGGACCTGGCTGAAGTGGCAGGGCTGTTGCTTTTCATTCCCCCAGGCTACTGCAGCCTCTCTGGGGCCTGGCTGGGTGCTATGCTGATCTGTGTGGCTGACTCGTGCCGGCTCCAGGTTGGAGCGTGTCAGCTCTGCTCTGCCTGATAGGGCATTGATCGGACACTGTGGTGGAGTGCCTACACACTGTCCCCAGGGGACCAGGCATGGCTCTGGGCATCTACAGGGGCTTAGGGTTTCTATATCCAGGCGACTATCACTCTCTCAATATGGGGAAATGGTTCAGCACTAGGGGCTCCTTCTGGAGAAAAGTTAGCCATACTCTGTTTGGCATATCTGGGGGAAAATGTGTATATGGATGTTTTTGTGTGACTGTTTCATGTGTCATGTGTGGATCATATTGGTCTGGGTGTGTATTTGTATTGTATGTCCATGTGCAGGAGCTCTGTGAATGGGAGGGAGGGAGTCTCTCTGGGTTAAATGTGAGTCAGTGGCTGTTTGATGGAGATTGTTAGTGACAGGGTAGTGACTGTGATCAGTACCAGACTGACAAACCACAGAACAAATACGGAAGGTGCTGGTTCAGTGCTCATTCACGCTCGCTTTCTCTTCCTCTTCCTGTTCAGTCTGCCCCTGTCTAACACACACAGCTCAAACACACACAGCTCAGATTCAGTTCATTCTCCATTAATGTTTTGCTAGTAAAAATGTTACCTTTCATTTTTCTTGTCAATGTCAGTAACGTCCCCATTTGGGCCAGCCATCTTTTCAACAGAGATTTGAGAACAAACTCAGTTTCTCTCAAACTCCGAACAGGGACCATTGGACAACCATTTTAGTTTTCATTTTACCTTTTTGGTGGAATGGTGGCCATTGAGTTCTGATAGCCTTTTGCTCTTTCTGCGGACTCTCTGGTAAAAAAAAACGGCCTCATTCAGTACCTGTAAAAAGGATCTAATTTTACCTCCAGCGGTGTTCTGTTCTTATGGCCCTAGATGCCTTTCAACCCTTCCCATTAAAATCCAAGGGCTTAGGCCCGTGGGAAAAGCACTGCTGTTGTTCTGCTTGGTGGAAGAAGAAGGCTTATTTCCTTTCTGAGGTGGACTCTCTAATCTAACAGACTTCTGTTCAGCAGATCTATAGGACTCATTAGAGACCCCTTTACTGGCTTGTTAGGGCAGCCAAACTGACGGGAGGGAGAGGATGTGGGTATGGGTGTACCTTGTGCGTGTGTTTGCATACATGTGTGCTTGGATAAACTTCTATCAACTCAGGTGAGGAACAAAGTGCTGCAGGACAGCATGTCCCATTTTCCCTACTGTGTGAGTGCCATCTGCTGTTAGGCTTATCTCACCTTTCCCTGCGTGATCAAACACCATGCACGTCTGCTGCTCAGAGTCAGGTTACCCACAGGACAGCAGCTATCTAGGACTACTGTTACCCTGATGTGGCTGAATCAGAGTGAGACAGTCTGGAGAGAGCGTAAAGGGTCTATTACTGCAGTGCACTATGAGAAGAGATGGTATTGATATTTCATTATGACTGTAATAAAGAGCAGCCCGTATTGAGTTTTCATTCATAGAGCTGGTCTAGTTCAGGTTAACATGTGGAGCGAGTCCTAATGACTCTGCAGAACTTTAAATGAGTCTGGGCTAGTTTAAATGCTTCAAAAAGCCTCTCTGGAGCCTCAACTGACTTGGCTATTAAACACACTGCTCCCTGAGCAGAGAGAGAGACAGAGAGAGAGAGATAATTGATTTTTCCCCAGCGTTTTACTGACCTCCATTAGGGTTCACTAGATGGCCCCATGGGTTCCACCATCAATGCTTCTGGGATTCAGGTCCTGACCCCAGAGCTGTTATAGGCCGTGCTCTCAAGGTCAACAGTGCAGAACTGGCCCAGTTATAGCAGATAGCAGGGTTGCTGAATGGTGGAAGGCTTGAAAAGAGAGGCCTTTTCAGCTGGACGCAGCAGGCTAGGCTGGTCTTCCCTCTCCTCTCCTCTTCACACTGACTGACCTGTCCTTGACGTCCAGTCTCCACACCAGCACAATAGGGGGTTTAGCCAAATGGATTAATGAGAGCAGAGAGGAGCGGTGTCTCTGAGAGGCTTACAGGGAGAGAACAGGGGAGACTGGAGAGGGAGAGGGGAGAATCTATCGCTGCACTGATATACATAGTGAACCTTCAGCACCATGGACAGCAGAAAAGTGTGAATGAGTTTTGTTTTTTAGTGTGTGCATCTGTGTGTGTGTGACAGAGAATGACAAAAAAGAGAGGAGAGAACAGTGTCTCAATGTGCTGTGTCGTCTCCACTGTCTGACGTCATGATTGACTGTTCTTTCAATGGCGGTCGGTACTGTAGCACTGCCTCTAGCTATTCTCTCCATCTAACTGGGCTAAATAATGTCCATTCACTCTCTGTAATATTTGCAGCACAGTTGTTCTTCTTAAAGTGCCGGCACCTCCATTAGAATGAGTGATGATCAGAGCTGCTCAGAGAGTTGAAAGCAGGGCTTGTAGGCCGTAATGGATGAGCCTTTCACTCTCGCTCGTAGCTCCCTCACTTCCTAAGCCTTCACTCTCGTGTATGTGTGTCATGCTCAGAGCTGTTAATGCTGGCAGGGGTGCTGTGTCAGAGCTGCAAATGTGATACTCTCTTCTATGCTGCAATGGTGCAAAGTGTTTGTGTGAATCTATGCTTTTATTTGAGGCGAGGGGGTGTGACAGTGCAGTCACAGCCCCACATACTCTGAAAGATTATTCATTAATTCATTAATTAATTCACCCACTTAATCTAATGTGTCTTTCCAGAAAGTGTCCCAGTACATCATCATCGTCCAGGCCACAGACATGGAGGGGAACCTGAACTTTGGCCTGTCCAACACGGCCACCGCCCTCATCTCTGTGACCGACATCAACGACAACCCTCCCGAGCTGACCGCCAGGACGGTGAGTCTCCTGTCCACCCTAGGACTGACCGCTACTGTAGGGCCACACATCTGTCTTCATGACAGGATAACATCAGTTGATGGATATTCAACAGGGCAGTGCCCCAACTCTGCAGTAGATGCAATCCATGTGTCTGATGCTATATTAGAGAACAAGAGGTCATGGCTCTTTGACAGGACGTAAGAGAGCTGGACAGACAAGAGGGACAGAGACATGTGGAGAGATAAAAATAGGGAGAAGAAAGGGACCAAAGGGAAAGAGAGAAAGAGGGAGCTACTGAAGTAAAGGGAGAGTGGTTCGGAGCGACATGGAGGGACAGAAAGAGAGGGAGGAGAGAGAATGATCATAGGCATTCTATTTGGTGACGGTAGGAGCCCTCCCTCCTCTGGTGACCATGGTTTGTCTGCAGGCGTCTGGCCTCAGTCTGGAGGCAGCCTGTCTTCCGTATTGTGTGTGTCTGTCTGAGTGTGTGTGTGTGTGTGTGTGCGCGCATCTGTGCATGCATGTATGCGTGCATCAAAAGGGAGGAGTAGTCTGTCTCTCCCTTCGTTGGTTTCTCTTTCTCTCTCTTTCTCCATCTCTCTGCTCTTTCTGTCTGTATGTCCATCCATCTGCAGAGAGAGGAGTGTGCCAGGCAGGCAGCAGCGTAGTTCCAGCCGGATGCTCTGATAAGAGGACCCAGCTGTCAGAGACTAGCCCACTGAACAATGCCTCGCCTCGGACCACTCTGTCCTGTCTCTGTCACTCCCCTCTCACAGGGGAACACTCAAACCTCCACAGGCACATGCACGCACACACACACACACATGCACTGCCTTGCCACACTCCTCTCCACTCTACACTGTCTCTACTCTCTCCACAGCTCAGCCTCTGTATGCTGTTGTAGGGCCACTGGTGTATCAGACATGGTGTTGGGTGGAAGGAGAGTGTTGAGTATCCTCACTGCCTCACAGTGTTTAGAACCGTGTGGCATTGCAAGAGCGATAACACATTATAATAGCAAACAAACCAGGATGACAAAGGAGGAGAAAGAAACAAGCTTTGGCAACATGGTTTAGAACACATGGTTTGGAACTCAAGTGTCAAACTGTGTGTTCCAACAGTAACAGATGGATGGGTCTCTGTTGTGGAGGGACAGTGGTTATGTTGGTGCAGACTGCAGAGGACAGGGGAGGGAGGAAGAGAAGATGAGTGGGTACAGGAGAGGACATGTTAGTCATAGAGACAGCTGTCTTACTGTCTTACTGCTGTGTATGACACACATAGCTTTACTCGTGGGCACACACATACACAGACAAAAACAAACACACTCTATTTTCCTAGAAGATTGCAGTATTATCCAGGTTCTCTGTTGCTTTGTTTGGCAATCCCTGTTCTTCTCTTCCCACACAGCAAACTCCACTTGGAGCAGTTACAGTGGGGGAAAAAAGTATTTAGTCAGCCACCAATTGTGCAAGTTCTCCCACTTAAAAAGATGAGAGAGGCCTGTAATTTTCATCATAGGTACATGTCAACTATGACAGACAAAATGAGAAATAAAAATCCTGAAAATCACATTGTAGGATTTTTAATGAATTTATTTGCAAATTATGGTGGAAAATAAGTATTTGGTCAATAACAAAAGTTTCTCAATACTTTGTTATATACCCTTTGTTGGCAATGATACAGGTCAAACGTTTTCTGTAAGTCTTCACAAGGTTTTCACACACTGTTGCTGGTATTTTGGGCCATTCCTCCATGCAGATCTCCTCTAGAGCAGTGATGTTTTGGGGCTGTCGCTGGGCAACACGGACTTTCAACTCCCTCCAAAATTTTCTATGGGGTTGAGATCTGGAGACTGGCTAGGCCACTCCAGGACCTTGAAATGCTTCTTACGAAGCCACTCCTTCGTTGCCCGGGCGGTGTGTTTGGGATCATTGTCATGCTGAAAGACCCAGCCACGTTTCATCTTCAATGCCCTTGCTGATGGAAGGAGGTTTTCACTCAAAATCTCACGATACATGGCCCCATTCATTCTTTCCTTTACACGGATCAGTCGTCCTGGTCCCTTTGCAGAAAAACAGCCCCAAAGCATGATGTTTCCACCCTCATGCTTCACAGTAGGTATGGTGTTCTTTGGATGCAACTCAGCATTCTTTGTCCTCCAAACACGACGAGTTGAGTTTTTACCAAAACGTTCTATTTTGGTTTCATCTGACCATATGACATTCTCCCAATCCTCTTCTGGATCATCCAAATGCACTCTAGCAAACTTCAGACGGGCCTGGACATGTACTGGCTTAAGCAGGGGGACACGTCTTGCACTGCAGGATTTGAGTCCCTGGCGGCGTAATGTGTTACTGATGGTAGGCTTTGTTACTTTGATCCCAGCTCTCTGCAGGTCATTCACTAGGTCCCCCCGTGTGGTTCTGGGATTTTTGCTCACCGTTCTTGTGATCATTTTGATCCCACGGGGTGAGATCTTGCGTGGAGCCCCAGATCGAGGGAGATTATCAGTGGTCTTGTATGTCTTCCATTTCCTAATAATTGCTCCCACAGTTGATTTCTTCAAACCAAGCTGCTTACCTATTGCAGATTCAGTCTTCCCAGCCTGGTGCAGGTCTACAATTTTGTTTCTGGTGTCCTTTGACAGCTCTTTGGTCTTGGCCATAATGGAGTTTGAAGTGTGACTGTTTGAGGTTGTGGACAGGTGTCTTTTATACTGATAACAAGTTCAAACAGGTGCCATTAATACAGGTAACGAGTGGAGGACAGAGGAGCCTCTTAAAGAAGAAGTTACAGGTCTGTGAGAGCCAGAAATCTTGCTTGTTTGTGGGTGACCAAATACTTATTTTCCACCATAATTTGCAAATAAATTCATAAAAAATCCTACAATGTGATTTTCTTGATTTTTTTTCCTCAATTTGTCTGTCATAGTTGACGTGTACCTATGATGAAAATTACAGGCCTCTCTCATCATTTTAAGTGGGAGAACTTGCACAATTGGTGGCTGACTAAATACTTTTTTCCCCACTGTATTATTTGTGTATGACAGACACAGAAAATAATGTGCATCTCTCAATGGGAGATGGAGAGAAAACATAAACACACTAATTAAGTAAAATTGCTTGCGGGGGCGTAAACCAAGCAGATATATTGCTTCTAATTTGAAAAAAGCCAAATGTTTTTTTCATTTCAGAACATGGGCATGAATATGAGTGTGATGTTCGTCATTATGTGAAAAACAAAAAGACAAAGGTACTTGCCACAACTCATCAGGCTGCATTCAGCGACTGTATAATCTCTCTCTCCTAGTGTTATGGTGGTGTGATCTAATCAAGTGCATTACACTCAAACTAAACTCTATAATCCTGTCGACGTTTTCAATTCATAATGGTGGGTGTTTGGAGCTGTGGTATGTAGGTTCATATGTTCAAATCTCAGCCAGATAGATTCCAGTATGCCTTGATTGCATGCTATTGCTGGTTTACCTGTAGAGCCTCTGTGTCTAATAGACTAGTTTTACTTAAGCGTATTACTGAAGGACAGTCAGTGGCATGGTGTTGGCACAGGAGGCGTCATTGACTATTAGTGATAGTAAATGTGCAACTGCATGTGGCACTGGTGTGACATGAAAAAGGCAGAAATTAAGTGTGTTGGTGTTGCCAATGCCTAGGACTCCTTCACCATCACAATGGGGATATAATAACACCCTTAAAACAGATTTAACTGTGCACCAGAATTTCAAGAGTTGTTTTTAAGGGCATTTCTATTCACAATTCTTGCTAACATTATTGCCTTGTTCTTGCTGTTGTTATTTTCAACCAAGACTATGCTTCTATTGAGAACAGTAAAAGAGCCCATGGATTCATGTTGCGTTGCTGATTCTCTTGTGAGAAACTGGAAACATAATGCAGTACTACACTCTGAAACAGCAGGGTTCTCCTTTTCCAGGCTCAATTCTTATATTATTCAGTTATTCTCAATTCAGTCTCTAAAATGTTGTGGTTAAAAGCAGTTCAATGGGACACATTCCCACTAAGGGTTGGGGTCTATTCCATTTTGAACTAGATGGATTCCATTCCAATTCAACCTCTGCACTTTCTCTTGAACTTCAATATAAATTCCAACCATTGATTCTTGAGTTTACCAAAGTATTCTGATTTAACTGTGCACCATTATCCTCTGTCCTTTTTGAACCCATGTTGGGAGCTGCAGTTCCCTAACAAGCAACCAGTGGAGGTTCCCTTAAGTATCTGTTTGTCTCTCTGGCTGCTTATCAGACAGACCAACTGTTACTTTCAAGGGTGAGGACATCTTCCCAGAGCCCAGTATCCAGTTAAACAGTTGCATAAGGTTTTTAAAACCACATCTCATTCTGCCTCTCCCCCTCTCTCTCCCAATGTTGTCAGACAAGCTTGGAAAGTTGTTTTCCTGTCTGTGTTGAAGCTGGGGATGAAAATGAAATAGAGGAACCCACACACCACAGATAATGTGCATATTACATTTATTCTGTGCTTATCGGCATGGCGATGCTGCGGGGGACATGGGGCGAGGAGGAGGGCGAGGGGGGATTGGGGTGCAGCCCCAGCGCCATGATGAAGTCATTAGACTGAACAGCAGCTGGCAGACACACACCATAAACCAGTTAACGCATCACAAGAGGAAACAAGGATTACTGTCTGACAATGAGAGCTGTGTGTGTGTGTGTGTGTATGTGTTGTGCATTTGTGTTTCTTGATTATTAAAGAGACTGCTGCAGAATGTAACTTTGCGACTTGATTGGACTAGATTCATGTACAGTAGGTTTTTGTGTATGCTGTTTCTGCTGAGTTTCCTCTATCATTTAGTGAGACTGAATGGTTTTAGATTGGAATATAATGAAGATCATTACTCAAAGATGGTCCATGCAATCTATTTAATTACATTACTTATTGAATTGCTTAATTGGTAAATGTGCAGAGTTAAATGTAAATGTGTAAACCCTTCATTGAACAAATTCATTGGTTTAAATAAAGATTTCCACACATAGACATTCAGCAGTATAAGGAACATAATTACTGTAATGAAAACAGTGTCTCTATTATTCAAATTCATGCAAATATCTCACTTTCTCTCTCCAACCTCCCTCCCTCACACCCTCTCTCTGTCTGTAGTTTTCGGGGGAGGTCCCAGAGAACAGGGTGAACGTGGTGGTGGCCAACCTGACAGTGATTGACAGGGATCAGCCCCATAGCCCTAACTGGGCTGCCCAGTACCGCATCGCCAGCGGAGACCCCCAAGGTCACTTCCTCATCCGCACCAACCCTGTCAACAACGACGGCATGGTCACTGTGGTCAAGGTAGGGGACTACTTTACTGTTTTACATAAACAACTCCTAGTGCTTTGGTTCCATATTAATATTGGTGCAATTTAGTTGTTATTTAATTTATCTTTGGCTTCTCTCTCTCTTTCTCTCTCTCTCAACCTCCCTCCCTACCTCTCTTTCTCCCCCACCCTTCTCTCCATCCAGCCGGTGGACTATGAGCAGAACAGAGCCTTTATGCTAACTGTGATAGTCTCTAACAAGGCCCCCCTGGCCAGTGGGATCCAGTCTTCTCTCCAGTCTTCAGCGGGGGTCACCATCTCCGTACAGGATGTTAATGAATCCCCTGTCTTCCCCACCAACCCCAAGTCCATCCGTTTTGAGGAGGGTGTCCCTGCAGGCACCACGCTCACCGTGTTTGCTGCCCAAGACCCTGACCTCTTCATCCAGCAAACTGTCAGGTACTGGATGTTCACTGTTTTACAATAGATGCTGATTGTATTTTGCATGGATTTGCTCTCTCGTGAGGCTGAAACACTGCTTTCTGTGACTTTCCTAACTGAACTCTCCCAAGACCAGGGTCCAATCGTTTCCCTGTTGCCTAGCGACTAGAGACGAAAGGTTAAATCGTAATGAGCTGGACTGTGTGTCCAGCCACTCTTTCCTTCTCTACCCCTCTTTCTCTCCATGTCTCTCCTCATCGATCCCTCTATTGCTTGCGTCCGTGGCCATACTCCCTGAGTGGGGTGGCACTAGGGGCATGGTGCCATCTCTACATCGACCCAGTGGACCTCCCTGGAGAGAACTCCCACATACTCACCGGGTCAAAGGTCATTGAGCCACTACAGCCACTACATTTCCAGATTCAGCACCAATCAATTCCACTCTAAATTCAGTCTGACACCCGTACACGGAGGCACTCTGGAAATGTTAGAGAATTGATGCGGTGCCGGCAAACAAATAAACTCTAAAAATAATATAATATGCCATTTAGCAGACGCTTTTATCCAAAGCGACTTACAGTCATGCGTGCATACATTTTTGTGTATGGGTGGTCCCGGGGATCGAACCCACTACCTTGGCGTTACAAGCGCCGTGCTCTACCAGCTGAGCTACAGAGGACCACTAAAAACACCAGTTCTTCTCATAAATGGACTCACTCATGCAAACTTACTCTTTCACTGTTGTTTTGTCTTCTGAGAGCCACAGAACTCCTCTTCTTCTCTCGCCTCCCTCTCTCTCTAACTCAATCCTTTCACCATCTCAGTCTCTTTTTCTCCTTTATTGATGGGAAGTCAGCGCTCCCATCTTCTGCAGAGATGTCGTTGCAGCAGACAGGCAACTCATGTTTGGACAGCCTAATCTTCACTGGCTGATTCACTTTAGTGACCTTGCACACAGATGACGTGAGGATCTACAGTGTGTGTGCACCAGAAGAGACTCCTCTTCCTTTCTCCTTCCCCATCCCTCCTCCTCCCTTTTTTCTAGCTCATCTAGAGGGAAGGAAGAGGAGAGGAGAGAGGAGAAGAAAGAGTTGAATAGGGTCTGATTTGCCAGCTAATTTCACTGTCAGACTTGAGGGATGTAGTGGAATGTGTGGATGGATCATATAACTTCCCCACCAGTTGTGTGTCCTTCTCCCTGTGCCAGCCTCTGCCAGCTGGGTGTCAGAGAGAGCCACTGTGGCATGAGAAGAGATGACAGGGCCTCTCACACCAACTAGAGACCTCTGTTTCACCTGCCAAGGGACACCAAATCCAAACTGACATCCAAGTCTGTTGAGGAGAAGAAAGAGTTGAACAGGGTCTGATTTGCCAGCTAATTTCACTGTCAGACTTGAGGGAAGTAGTGGAATGTGTGGATGGATCATATAACTTCCCCACCAGTTGTGTGTCCTTCTCCCTGTGCCAGCCTCTGCCAGCTGGGTGTCAGAGAGAGCCACTGTGGCATGAGAAGAGATGACAGGGCCTCTCACACCAACTAGAGACCTCTGTTTCACCTGCCAAGGGACACCAAATCCAAACTGACATCCAAGTCTGTTGGCATGACTCTCTGTAACTCTCATGTTCCTGTTATTTTGCCTTCTATTCTGTTGTTGATATCCCCATGAAGGAACACCACATCTATCTGTCTTTACCTCCCTCCGTCCCTTGGAGTGCAGGATTTCCATTGTTGCAGGAGTCTAAATGTGGCAGAGTGTGTTTCATTAGCGGGAGATAGATTTAGCTGCCTAGCTGCAATAATCTCCCACACATCTCGTTGGCACTCGCTAACCTGTGTCATCCTCCAGCGTGTTCTCTAATTAGACCTATTATCATCATCATCATCATCATCGGCAGCAGCATCAAACCTCTTCCCACCAGGCATCTAATCTCTCTATACCTCTGTCTCTATATTTTCATTATATATACAATGTATGTGGACACCCCTTCAAATTAGTGGATTCGGCTATTTCAGCCACACCTGTTGCTCCTGTTGCTGACAGGTGTATAAGTATGAAGTGGAAACATCTAGGAGCAACAACGGCTCAGCCGCGAAGTGATAGGCCACACAAGCTCACAGAATGGGACCCACAAGTGCTGAAGCACGTAAAAATCGTCTGTCCAAGGTTGCAACACTTACTACCGAGTTCCAAACTGCCTCTGGAAGCCACATCAGCACAAGAGCTGTTCGTCGGGAGCTTCATGAAATGGGTTTCCATGGCCGAGCAGCCGCACACAAGCCTAAGATCACCATGCACAATGCCAAGCGTCGACTGGAGTGGTGTAAAGCTTGCCGCCATTGGAATCTGGAGCAGTGGAAACGCGTTCTCTGGAGTGATGAATCATGCTTCACCATCTGGCAGTCCGACGGACAAATCTGGGTTTGGCGGATGCCAGGAGAACGCTACCTGCCCCAATGCAAAGTGACAATTGTAAAGTTTGGTGGAGGAGGAATAATGGTCTGGGGCTGTTTTACATGGTTCGGGCTAGGCCCCTTAGTTCCAGTGAAGGGAAATCTTAACGCTACAGCATACAATGACATTCTAGATGATTCTGTGCTTCCAACTTTGTGGCAACAGTTTGAGGAAGGCCCTTTCCTATTTCAGCATGACAATGCCCCCATGCACAAAGCGAGGTCCATATAGAAATTGTTTGTTGAGATCGGTATGGAAGAACTTTACTGGCCTGCACAGAGCCCTGACCTCAACCCCATCGAACACCTTTGGGATGAATTGGAACGCCGACTGCGAGCCAGGCCTAATCGCCCAACATCAGTGCCCGACCTCACTAATGCTTGTGGCTGAATGGAAGTCCACGCAGCAATGTTCCAACATCCAGTGGAAAATCTTCCCAGAAGAGTGGAGGCTGTTATAGCAGCAAAGGGGGGACCAACTCCATATGAATGCCCATGATTTTGGAATGAGATGTGTCCACATACCTATGGTAATGTAGTGTATCTCTCCCTCTCTATACACTGTGACAAACGCCTTTTAACGGAGTAATCACATTGATTTACATTGATTTTGAATTCGAGGCAGTGTTACCTGCATGAAAGTAAGCTCCTGTACCTCTAATTAATATCTCCACTTACATACTCATTTGTTTCTGCAAATTGCTCTTCATTTGCATCAGTTTACTCTTGTTAGCTGTCAGCTTTGCCTGGCAAAACCAAGCTGCAAGAATACCAAACTGCTTCCTGATACAGGGGAGATGTGTGCAATGATAAACTCCTGATCCTATCTGGAAGTTAAGATTAGATACAGGGTATTCGCCAATTCTACTTGTATTTGTACTGAAGGATATATTAAGGCATTATCACTATGGGATTAGATATGTTGTAATAGTTTTTACATCTACTGTGTGTCTCTAGGTACTCAAAGCTGTCTGACCCAGCTAACTGGCTGAGGATCAACAGGACCAATGGTCAGATCACCACCATGGCTGTGCTGGACAGGGAGTCTATGTATGTCAGGAACAACATCTATGAGGCCACCTTCCTGGCTGCCGACAATGGTAAGTCTGGTAAGTGAGTGTGTGCACGTGGTAATTCTGTGTGTGTGTGTGTGTGTCTCTGTCTGTCTTCATGTGTGTACATGTGCGTGCATGCGTACTGCATAAGTGTGTGTGTTGCCTGCTAAATGTATCCCTTGTGTACTGTGGAGAGGAGTGAAATATCTGTCTAAATGTACAAAAGGTGAGTGCTGTCAAAGCTGCTGTAGCGATCGGTGAAGTACTCTAAAACCAATCGACCCATTACGAATAGAGGTGTTTGCTCTCTGTGTTTGAGAGAGAGGGCACAGGTGGTGTGTTATACCACAGAGATATGACAGATTGGTTTGCGGGAATGAGGTGTGCTGCCCTCGAGTGCACAGAATTTAGGCAAACAAGCTGCTGATTGCCTATTGATTCCAAACACCAGTCGACATGGGGATATATTGCACTTTGATTGAGTTTTGCTTTTATTAATTCTGCTCCACGAAGGAGTGAGCTCAACAAAGCGCTGAACCAATCATAACAGACAAGCAGTCAATGGTGTGCTCTGCTGTGCTGAGGCAATAGACCTTTACATAAAGTAGCTGTAGCTCATGCACTGCGTTACTTTGTAATAGAAAACAGAGGTGGATCTCCTCAGTGTGATGAGCTTGGGTAAACATTCATGCAGACAGTGCAGCATCAGTTACTTAGCAGAAAATACTCCATGGTAATCAGTCGGCTATACAAAGTTATGGTAGTCTGTTTGTCACTGACTGTAGGTTAGGGTGTGTTGTCATAGTGTCAGAGTCTGACTGTAGGTTAGGATGTGTTTGTTGTCATAGTATATTTAAGTAATAAGGCCCGAGGGGTGTGGTATATGGCAAATATACCACGGCTAAGGGCTGTTCTCATCCATGACGCAACGCGGAGTGCCTAGATATAGCCCTTAGCCGTGGTATATTGGCCATATACCACAAACCCCCGAGGTGCCTTATTGCTATTATAAACTGTCTACCAACGTAATTAGAGCAGTAAAAAAAAATGTTTTGTCATACCCGTGGTATACAGTCTGAAATACCACGGCTGTCAGTCAATCAGCATTCAGGGCTCGAACCACCTAGTTTATAATGTAGTTTAGTGTGTGTTTGTTGTCACAGTATATTGTAGGTTAGGGTGTGTTCGTTGTCGTAGTATATTGTAGGTTAGGGTGTGTTTCTCCTCAGTGCATTTTAACAACAACATTTCATGTGTCTTCTGAGAGTGCTGAGCTCCAGACTCACGAAGAGTGAAATATTTATGTGCGGTTTCATTTGTTATGGCTGTCATCACTGGGAGCTTTTAGAACAAATGCATGCTGTATTCTTCCATCACTCTCAAACCCTCTCTCAATATTCTCTCAGCTCCCTCGTTTTTCTCTTTCTCTGTTTCTCCCTCATCTCCCCTCCCTCTGTCCCTTTACTCTCTTCTATTTTCATTCTATTTCTCACCTCCAGATGAAATTCAATTCAGCTCAAGTGATTTTTAGAAGATGTTTTGGGGTTGGGGGGGGGGAGGTGCAGTACCCTCCGTACCCCTACTTCCTGTGGCTAGGCTGTGTATATATGCATGAAGTTTCTCTCTTCCTCAAATTGATTATGTTTGTCTCACCTCTCTTCCTTACTCCCCTTCTCTCTCTCTCTCTCTCTCTCTCTCTCTCTCTCTCCCTCTCTCTCTCTCTCTCTCTCTCTCTCTCTCTCTTCCCCTTCTCTCAGGTTCTCCTCCGGCCAGTGGAACAGGTACTCTGCAGATCCATCTGATAGATGTGAATGACAATGCTCCGGTGCTGATGCCCAAGGAGGCCCAGGTGTGTGAGCGCGCCAATCCCCGCTCCAAGGTCAACATCACAGCCTCCGATGCAGACGCTGACCCCCATGTGGGGCCCTTTGTGTTCGAGCTGCCCTCCTACCCCCCCAGTGTCCGACGCAACTGGACCGTCTCCCGGATCAGTGGTAAGACATGGGATCTCCACAAGAGGGGTAGTGTGTCATAGTTGAAATTCTGTAGTCCAACTTCTCCACACAGCCCCCCCCCCCCACCCCCCTTCTAGCTATGACTCTGCTGATGGCTACTTTATTGAGGAAAATGTAATAAGAATAATAATAATATGCCATTTAGCAGACGCTTTTATCCAAAGCGACTTACAGTCATGCGTGCATACATTTTTTTGTGGATCGAACCCACTACCTTGGCGTTACAAGCGCCGTGCTCTACCAGCTGAGCTACAGAGGACCACTATGTACTTACTATGCCTGTGATATGTGGTTGTCCCACCTATCTATCTTAAGATGAATGCACTAACTGTAAGTCACTCTGGTTAAGAGTGTCTGCTAAATGACTAAAATGTAAATGCTGTTGATTTATATTGTCTAAATATTGTCTGATGTGTGTGTGTGGATGCTGGCTCCCTGTGTGTTTGCTGCTGTGTGACAGATGACATGGTGTGGTCTCAGGCTGATGGCCTGTGGTATAAAGGAGCTCTTATATGTCATATATGCATTATATTTGCATTATAATCCTTTCACAGCATTATGAGGCTGCGTTGAGACAATGACTTATTAATAACCCAAGCCCAGCTCAGCAAATCTCTACCATTGTGGCACGGAGTTGTCATAATGCTTCAGCAAATGTACATTACACCAGGGGTGTCGGTAGAAACAATATAAGTAACCTAATTTATGTCCCTCTAACTGCCCTGAATGCCTCTGCTGATCCTACAGCTATTGTATGCAGTAATCATGTGCCTATGAACCAGATGTATACTGTTAGCACTGAGCCGGTGTGCCCTATGAGGAAGTCCACTGTGTGCAGCTCACCCTGCACTAACATAAATAACATGAGCACATCTACAAGCAAAAAAACAAGTAAGCATCCCAGAAGAAAAGTGCTCAAAATAGCCCACGTTAACATATGTAGCTTAAGAAACATTAATATTCTGACTATCTCTGAAACTCACTTAGATAATACCTTTGATGATACAGTGGTAGCAATACAAAGTTATAACATTTACAGAAAAGATCGAAATGCCAATGGTGGAGGTGTTGCTGTTTATATTCAGAACCACATTCCTGTAAAGATTAGAGAGGATCTCATGTTAAATTCTGTTGAAGTAATATGGCTACAGGTTCATCTGCCTCACCTAAAGCCCATTCTGGTGGGAAGCTGCTATAGACCACCAAGTGCTAACGGTGAGTATCTGGATAACGTGTGAAATGCTTGTTAATATGTGTGATATAAACAGAGAGGTATATTTTCTGGGTGATTTAAATATTGACTGGCTTTCATCAAGCTGCCCACTCAAGAAAAAGCTTCAAACTGTTACCACTGCCTGCAACCTGGTTTAGGTTATCAGTTAACCAACCAGGGTAGTTACAAACAGCACAGGAATGAAATCATCAGCATGTATTGATCACATCTTTACTAATGCTGCAGAAATTAGCTTGAAAGCAGTATCCAGATCCATCGGATGTAGTGATCACAATATAGTAGCTATATCTAGGTCATACAATAAGTTTTGTAGTGATTCTTATGTTGTTGATGTAAAGAATATTTGTTGGTCCGTGGTGTGTAATGAGGAGCAAACAGACACTGCACTTGACACATTTATGAAATTGCTTATTCCAGTTACTAATAAGCATGCACCCATTAAGAAAATGACTGTAAAAACTGTTAAATCCCCGTGGATTGATGAGGAATTGAAAAATAGTATGGTTGAGAGGGATGAGGCGAAAATAATGGCAAATAAGTCTGGCTGCACAACCGATTGGCAAACGTATTGCAAATTGAAAAATCATGTGACTAAACTGAATAAAAAGAAGAAGAAACTACACTATGAAACAAAGATAAATGACATAAAGAATTATAGTAAAAAGCTTTGGAGCACCTTCAATTACATTTTGGGGAAAAAAGGTAAACTCAGCTCCATCATTCATTGAATCAGATGGCTCATTCATCACAAAACCAACTGATATTACCAACTATTTTAATGATTTTTTCATTGGCAAGATTAGCAAACTTAGGCATGACATGCCAGTAACAAACGCTGACACTACATATCCAAGTATATCTGACCAAATCATGAAAGACAAGCATTGTAATTTTGCATTCCATAAAGTGAGTGTGGAAGAGGTGTAAAAAGTATTGTTGTTTATCAACAATGACAAGGGTCTGACAACTTGGAAGGAAAATGACTGAGGATAATAGCGGATGAAATTGCCACTCCTATTTGCCATATTTTCAATTTAAGCCTACTAGAATGTGTGTGAGGGAAGTCTTGGAGGGAAGCAAAAGTAATTCCGCTACCTAAGAATAGTAAAGCCCCCTTTACTGGCTCAAATAGCCGACCAATCAGCCTGTTACCAACCCTTAGTAAACTTTTGGAAAACATTGTGTTTGACCAAATACAATGCTATTTTACAGTAAACAAATTGACAACAAACTTTCAGCATGCTTATAGGGAAGGACATTCAACAAGCACAGCACTTACACAAGTGACTGATGATTGGCTGAGAGAAATTGATGCTAAAAAGATTGTGGGGGCTATTTTTTTAGACTTCCGTGCGGCTTTTGACATTATCGATCATAGTCTGCTGCTGGAAAAAAAGTACCTGTGTATTATTCTGTATGTATTTGCATGTACTATATCTCTACCAGTTCTGCTCACATGGCCACAGATGACTACAGTAAAACTCCGGAGTGGTCAACTGTTTATTTCTACACCACCGCACTTCAAGCAGTGACTGGACATTGTGTCTGTGTGACTATGTGCAGGTGACTATGCCCAGCTGAGACTGAGGATTCCCTACCTGGATACAGGGGTGTATGATGTTCCCATCATCGTGTCGGACTCCGGGAACCCGCCCCTCTCTAACAGGTCCACTATAAAGGTCAAGGTGTGTCCATGTGATGACAACGGAGACTGTACTACCACCGGAGCTGTGGCTGCCGCCGGACTGGGGACCGGAGCCATCATAGCCATACTCATCTGTATCATCATACTGCTTGGTGAGTATAATACACATTTACACACACACGCCTGTGCTGTAGGAGTCATTGTCTGTATCAACATACTACTAGATACTGTAAGTATATAATGTACATTACACACACAACCTCTGATATATCCCTTTTCACTTCATGTCTGGGGTGTTGTGTTGTGTGTGTTGTGTGTTGCAGTCCTGGTGCTGGTGTTTGTGATGTGGATGAAGCGCAGGGAGAAGGAGCGTCAGGCCAAGCCCCTGCTGATCGACCCAGAGGACGACGTCAGAGACAACATCCTGAAGTATGACGAGGAGGGTGGAGGAGAGGAGGACCAGGTCAGTGTTATACACATTACACATGCACAAGGCTTCATCTAACAACACAGCCATACAGTTGATGGCGGTGATGATGATGATGATGATGATGATGATGATGATGATGATGATGGTGACAACAATGATGATGTGAAGACGATGATGATTATGATGATGAAGATGGCATATTTAATTACTGTGATTGCACTCAGACACTTCCTTAGTCATTCTTACAGTCCCTCTGAGTCTCCTTCCTTGCTTTGTGTTGCAGGACTATGACCTTAGCCAGCTGCAGCAGCCTGAGTCTCTGGAGCACATCATCAGTAAACCAGTGGGGGTGCGCAGGGTGGACGAGAGGCCCATCATCGCTGAGTCCCAGTACCCCGTCAGACCCAGCCTGCCCCACCCTGGAGACATCGGAGACTTCATCAACGATGTACGTTAACTATTAGACATCAGACGTAATTTATCTCAAAAGACTGTATAAGTGTTCTAATGTTTGAGTTTCTATACTAAAGAACAATCACAGTAACAGCACAGTTCATAACAATCACAGTAACAGCACAGTTCATAACATTCACAGTAGCAGCACAGTTCATAACAATCACAGTAACAGCACAGTTCATAACAATCACAGTAGCAGCACAGTTCATAACAATCACAATAACAGCACAGTTCATAACAATCACAGTAGCAGCACAGTTCATAACAATCACAGAAGCAGCACAGTTAATAACAATCACAGTAACAGCACAGTTCATAACAATCACAATAACAGCACAGTTCATAACAATCACAGTAACAGCACAGTTCATAACAATCACAGTAACAGCACAGTTCATAACAATCACAATAACAGCACAGTTCATAACAATCACAGTAACAGCACAGTTCATAACAATCACAATAACAGCACAGTTCATAACAATCACAGTAACAGCACAGTTCATAACAATCACAGTAGCAGCACAGTTCATAACAATCACAGTAGCAGCACAGTTCATAACAATCACAGTAACAGCACAGTTCATAACAATCACAGTAGCAGCACAGTTCATAACAATCACAGTAGCAGCACAGTTCATAAAATCACAGTAACAGCACAGTTCATACCAAACTTAGCAACAAGCATGCCATCAGTATAATCACTATTGCCTTCCTCTCCTCAGTGTTAACTAACCCTCTCTGTCTCTCTCTCTCTCAGGGTCTGAGGGCGGCGGACAACGACCCCACAGCCCCGCCCTATGACTCCCTGCTGGTGTTTGACTACGAGGGCAGTGGCTCCACGGCCGGCTCTGTCAGCTCCCTCAACTCCTCCAGCTCAGGAGACCAGGACTACGACTACCTCAACGACTGGGGCCCCCGCTTCAAGAAGCTGGCAGACCTCTACAGCGGGGGAGACGACGACTGAGAGAGGGGTGTGGTGGGGTACGGAGGGGGTCCGGGGGGAGGGGTTGGGGTCAGATGCTCCTCGAAACCACAGGCAGGGCCCAAGCAGTACCACATGAGATATTCCCATAGTAGACCAGTGAGGAGAGGACAGAACCTAAGAGACTGTTCTAGAAGACGGCCTGTGACCTCACCAGGTTCTGCTGCTACTCTATTCTGGCTTTTTTAGTGGCAAGTTTTTTGTGTGTTTTGTTTCTTACTCTACTGGACATCGAGCTATCTGGGGATGCGAGACACTTCTGAGAGACAGGAGTGTTGACGCTCGTTTGGCTTGGATGATGAAAAGGAACATGACAAACTCATCTCCTTTTAGTTTAACACTGAACACAATGTACAGAAAGACACTCACTTTCTCTCTCTCAACTTGAATTTCCTTAGAACAGAAGCACTGTCGTTTTATAAAGTGCCTTTTGTGGTGTGTTTTTTATTGGACTCCTGCTATCTCAGGGTTGGTTGCCATTGGAGTAGTTTCGAGTGGCACACTCCCTTGTAACCTCCACGCTCCCCCCAACCTTCATATGAGTCCCTCTCCTCTTCTCTCTGGTGTCGAAAAAGAACTGCTGTGCCCAGCAGCAACACAGACAAGAGAACCACACAATGAGGGCTGGCTGGAGGTTAAGATCAGTTAAACTCCCTTTGGAGCGTTTTGGGGAAGTACTACTAAAGCAACCCTCTGTCAGTGAGACCTGATACATCACTGGGCTGATCGAAGCCTTACCCAAGCATCATCCGGTCAACACAACAACACACTGACATTGGATGTGTGTATGTGTGTCTGTTTTTATAAATGTGGGGGGTTTCTAACAAACAGAGAATGCCTGCCTTTCCTCTGTGAACTCATGAGTCCAGGAGCCTTTACGTTCAGACGCTTGCCTGCCATGTACGGTTTTGTGTTGCTTTCCACACTGTAAAGCTTATGTAGGCATGATCTGAATAGTGAGACAGTATAACACAGTAAGACTTGAAATGGCTTGAAAAGAATGCACTGAAAAATAAGCATTAGAAGGATTTTTCTGGCCTTGAACATTCCCATTTTTAGGTCAACAAAACTATTGAGAGATGCATGAATTATTTTATTTCTTATGTTTTACTTAACGCACTTCTTCTTATGTGGTGAGAATGTGAATATACTCTGTAAAAAGACATTCAAAAAAGAAAACACTGTAAGATACCTATTTTTCAAGTATTAATTACAAAAAAAGTTGCTGCTTCAATGGGCTGAAAGACGTTTTGGACCAGCTATTTTCAATTTGTGCGTGTGTTTCTTTTCTCATTTTGGTCAAGATGCTGTAGGTTTGTTTCAGTTGATCTTTTTCTATTTTTATTTTTTTTGGGTTGTTTTTCAAGAATTAAGAAAGCTTTGTTATAATCCTGTTTTTTTAAATGTCAAATGCAGCCCTCCCTCTTCTCTTGTGTGTTTGACGAACGCCTTTCTGTCGGCCTCTGGACTTGGGACTGTGGAAGGGTTAACCAGCCATGCCTGCTGATAGTTGTTCTATTATTAAGTGTATCTGAATAATTTTCTTCATTCATCTAGATACTGGATATGTGCTTAAGAAAATAAATGAGACATGTTTTTAAAATGTTGTAACTTACTTACTTATACCTTGTTCATGTTCAACCATCAGTGTCCTTCATTCTAACCTTCTAGAGCTCTGATCGGGCATGAATTTTAAGCCTGAGCCCTACCCATGCCCGTGACGTTCAGGCCCGATTGCTTCTGCCAAATTTAAAGCCTGGCCCTGCCCAAAGCATAAAATCTGAAATAACTTCCTCCGTTAGTAAATCCATTAGCTACATATGACTGATCAAACGGGAATTACCTTTACATTTTAGCACGGATCTCCCACGATACGGATTGAATCCAGACCTTCATCTTTTCTCTGTGTTTGAGGGCAAGGAGAAGGAACAGACACATAGACGACCCTTTCCTTGAAGCTGATTGACTGACTTGTGATAACCTCAGTGTTTTAATGTGAATGTCAAGGACCCTTCTCCCTCACAGTTCTAGCATTCTGTACACGGGTGGCAGGTAGCTTAGTGGTTAAGAGCGTTGTACCAGTAACTGAAAGGTCGCTGGTTCTAATACCCGAGCCGACTAGGTGAAAAATCTGTCGATGTGCCCTTGAGCAAGGCACTTAACCCTAATTGCTCCTGTAAGTCGCTCTGGATAAGAGCGTCTGCTAAATTACCAATTTATTTATTTATTTTACACTGCAGAGCAAAGAGTGGGAGGAATACTCTGCTGGGTAACAACATATATTTGTGTCCATCCCTGTGATTTCAATGAATCAGTTGAGGCCCCAAAAAGCGGCGGGGGAATGGAAGGGTTTTAATCCTCCCCGGCTGTATCAATTAGACACACCATTAATCCCCAGGACCTAATCTCATTAGATAGAGCGCCTTTAATGAGACACCCAGAGAGAGGGGAGAGAAAGGGGGGAGAGATATGGGCTAAAAGGATGCATCCTACAGTGAAAAGATCAGAGATACTGTATATGGGTACTTCGGAGGTATGAGAGGATGGACAGAACAGAAAACCTACAGAGGGATGGAGAGAGAGAGAAATTATATTCTTTAAAAAAACTGTTTTAGACCCAGGTTCATTCAGACCCAACCCTTGTTACGAGAGAGAGAGAGAGAGAGAGAGAGAGAGAGAGAGTGGGAGCTGTGCTGATAGGCTTTGGGAGCGTGCTACATGCTGTGGCTGATAATGAGGTGTGCTTTGATTGTCCAGTTAGTTAATCTCTACACTTGAGAAGGAAGCCTGGTATTAAGGAGATTCAATAATCAAGCCTTCTATATAAAAAGCAATCCTTATATATAATACGGAATACTGTATTTGCAGTGCACAGTGAATCACATCTAGGGTTGCAAAGGGAGGGTATATTACTTGAAACTTTCTAAGTTTACCAGTAAAGTATCAGAATTTTTGTATCTTTCAAGGATTTTATGTAATCTATCACAAGATATCTAGTGGCCCTTTTGTGTGCTTCAGATTATCACAGGTGGTCCTCTGTGTGTTCTTACAACATGTAAAATATATGAAATCATTGAATAAGATGATTTTTAAATAAAAAATTGAATGACAAAGCTGTAAAACATTTTCCTAAACATAACCATCAACTTAGTGAATACACAAACTGGTGCACCTGGCACCTACTATCATACCCCATTCAAAGGCATTCAATATTTTGTCTTGCCCATTCACCCTCTGAATGGCACACATACACAATCCATTTCTCAATTATCTCAAGGCTTAAACATCCTTCTTTAACCTGTCTCCTCCCCTTCATCTACACTGATTGAAGTGGATTTAACAAGTGACATCGATAAGGGATCATAGCTTTTACCTGGATTCACCTGGTCAGTCTGTCATGGAAAGAGCAGGTGTTCTTAATGTTTTGTATACTCAGTGTATTGACAAGCAGTTCCTGTGGCTCTGCATTGCTTGTTAAAGAGAGAGAAAAGCCAACTTGAGGTGGTTTGTTGATAAATGGTGTATACTGAGCAAGAGTTTAGCAGTTGGCCAGCAGCCAGCCCCTTATGTGTTGTAAATAAAGTTCTCATTTTCAAATGCATTCAGCCCAGCTCTTTTCATTTCCTGCCCATAAAGGCCCTAGTCTCTTGGGCTGGCAGTGGGAACAATCCAATCTGAGAATGACTCTGCCGGGTTTTGGTGGTGCCCGGTTAATTTGCTGTTTACAATTTAGTGCTGATGGGGCTGCTTCGGTGCGAGCAGCACCCCGGGAGGGACTTGTTTACCGGGTCTGTTGTGCTGACACAGCGGGGCCCTCCTGCTATTTAAAGATCAGGTCGTGAATGAGATCAAAGCAGGATAATCAATTTGATGTTACTGCTCAGAGTAGAGTGTAAGGGCTCTATTCAAACTGTATCGCTGAAGCGCTACAGATTCCGCAATAGATATTTAAAGACAATTTCTGATTGAGCCGATGCAGCGTTTACCATGAATGCAGTCTACGCTAACGCAGGAACATTGCCTTTAAATTTCAGTCATGCTTTAACGCTGAACTTACGTGGTACGGATTGAATAGAGCCAGTTTGGTCCGGTCCACATCCCAGTTTACTGTACCTCTGGTTACTCATCTGAAGGGTTGAGTCATGCAATGGTGGGGAGAGTAATGGAGCAGAGACCAGATGGGTTCACATCAACATGTAAATCTCTGTATTTATGTAAACAACATGTTTCAGACATTGGTTTACCCATCACATACCAAACTACCAAAGACTTGCGAACTTTCCATCAGAATGTGATTGTGTGAGTATCTGTTATTAGGCCTATCTCTGCAAAGTACAGTATCACTGGGTCGCACTAAAATGCTGCATCTACCTTTCCCAATTCGGCCTTATCTGATCCAGTCAGAGCGCAGTGATTGTGAGAAAGCCCACATTGAAGGGTTTAGAAGCCTTCATCCATGGCATGACCTAATGTAGCCTGGGGTGGAGCGTATGTTTTGTCTGAGATCTACTGCTCTGGCCTCTATTTCCATTCAATCCCATTCCCATTTGTCAGCATCACTACAGGCATGCGGACCAGTGTTTTACATTAATAATAGATTGGAAGCAGAGTAATTAGTATAAATAAGTAATCAGCCGACACACATGTGTACTAGCATTAACTGTGTAAGTGTAATGATATTTGAATAACATGATGGAGAGTAATGTCAATCTATCTGGCTATGTGCATGCTGTACTGTAGGTATGACTGCATTTGGCTGATGAGTCTCCATAGCTGTCAGACAAACTTAGCCATGTACAGCGCACAGTGGCGATTTTAGCATGTAAATCTTGGTAGGGAAAACTCAATATTTTATTTTTTAGAATCAGGCCAGCAAAGCCACAACACAACACTGAACAATACATTAATTGCACTATAACGGTGACAAACGGTGCCCACAAACTGTTAGGGCCTACATAAAGCTGTCCCAACAGCAGAGCTTT